AGCTGACTATAGTATGCATCTCAGGGCCAGGAAGTTCGAAGTTGGATAAGGGCAAGGGACTCGCGTAGAGAGTTACTAGATTGTTATCTTATCTTTAGTTTTTGCCTAGCAGCATTGTACTAATCTATTGTAACTTAACCTGGTATGAAGCGGGTTAGAACTTAAGTTAATTTTGGGGATTCAAAGACTTCCGCTATAAACGATTAGAACGGTGATGTTTTAGCCGTCTTTTGGACTATGTATTCAGGAAATGGAATTAGGATACGTGACATTCTTAAAAAAATGAGGGTGTTACAATAATAATATAATGACATAAAATCACTGATAATATAATATACTATTTAATATAAATTAAATGATAAATCAAAGTAAGTAATACATAATATTAACATTTCAATTCAATTATACATGATATTATAAATGTGGATTTGTGTAACTATATATATTAAGAAATAATAATTAATAATTAAATTAAATATTTAATTAATAATCATTTATCAAAGTTTTATTATTTATAATATAAAAGAAATATAATTTCTTTTTATGTAAACCATTTTTAAGTAAGTATATTTAATTATAACATTATTATTAAATATTGTAATTATATTAAAAATAATTTATAATGGTTGAAACATAGTTTAAAGTTCGAAAGTACTTATATTTTGACGATGTCGGAGTACCATAATACCACCATTTTTGGCATTTGCAAAACGAAAAATGTTTGTGCCTCATCCTCAGGTGGAATACTTGGTTCATTTCTAATAATACCTTCTTCGTCAATAATCACATTTTCAGCCATTGTTTCAGAAGACAAAGCTCGAAGAGCCTTTTGCACTCTTCTTCGTTGTCTGAAAGTTTTTTCAATGTCCGGATCAAGTTGGAAAAATTCAACGTGCGACAGTCTTGGCATGCACGGTGCGTTCACAAAAAGATGGTAGAAAAACTAACTTTTAAAAACTTTATTTTTAAAAAAAACTTATGTGTGCTATCCCCGGTAGCGGCGCCAAAAACTTGCTCGTTGGTTTATGCAACCTTAGATTTCAGCACAAAAATATAACTCGACGCAAGTATACACCTTGAACTACTGTCGTCTCGTAACAAGTAATAATGGTAAAGTACCAGATATCGTTCTCACAGATACAGCTTTGCAAAGTTCTTCAAAAGTCCAGTCTATAAAAACTAATTTCAGATGGCGAAACGAGGGATTTGATTTATCTAAAATTTGAAGGTTTGATTATCAACTACGAAAATATCAGTTGTAAAAAGAAGCACAAGATGCAAAGATTAATTAAGACACTAAACAAATGATTCAGAAAAAATGTGGCATAGCATTCATGTCACAATTATCTAAAATCAATAAATGATTGTATATAACTGTCACAATATCAACTATCGGGTCAGACGGTCTCCCAAGAGTACACACCGGTCAACGTGCTATCGATACGATATCATTTATGTTAGACGTCGTGAATCCTAGTACAACACAGTGTTACCATCCTTCACCATAGGAGTATAGTACTTGTTAGATACTGAGTTATTTATAGTTTTCTCCTATTACCTCAGGTTTTATTATTTATCTTAACTCTGAAAGTTAATGCATTTTCATACACAAAATCAGTTGTCAATTAATTTTAATGTAATCTTCAATGAAATATTAATCACCTGAAATAAATAGCAGACTATAATGCTAATAAGACACATTTGTACTTTCAAATCGACTTTGGTCTTAATTTTCCCTTACACCCAAGCTAAGGCGTTTAGCCCATCATCGCTCGGTTTCTTCTCGCGAAGGATGTAAAGACTGAAAAATAAATAACTGATACGTAAAAGCAAATTGCAGAAATTAAAATGCAGGAATTTAAAGTACTGGAAAGTAAATTACAGAAATATAAATGACTGAAAGTAAATTACTGTAAATTAAAATGCATAAAGCAAATTACAGTAAAGTAAAGTGCAGAAATTAAAGGAAAAAGGTAAATACTTATAATTAAAATTATTCTAAAATAAGACATAAAGTAAATACTTATATGTTAAGATGTGACCCTTACAAGACAAGTGAAAACTTAAAGAAAGGAAGACTTGGAGAAACTTGCACTCCAAGTTACGAAACTTGCAAGCCAAGTTTCGTTACTAAAAGCGAAGAGTTACTTGAAAACAAATTATTTAGTCTACGGAAATTAATCGTGAGCCACAAAGAATGAAATCCAATGTAAAACAACAGAGATCGATTAATTTCAATTTTGTAACGAAAGTCAGAAAGTATTTATAACTTGAAAGTAAGAACAGAAATGAGATGAAGATTAAACACGAGCACTTGAATTAAACTTGAGAATATAATCACAACTTCACTTCAACAAAATCGGTTCTTGGTTGGAAGCAAGAAAACCGAAGGCAATAAAACCAAAAGCTAAAATATTTAGAGAGTAATTATTTAACCCAAAGGTTGTGTGTTAATAAAACCAAGCCTCAAGCTCCTATTTATAGAGTTTTAGAGCTTGCACAAGTAGGCTAGCTAATAGGACAAAAGAGGTCTTCAAAACATGCTTTGACCAGACCCAATGCCTTAGATCCGGCAGCTTAAAGGCAGCAGCCCATGGAAATTCAACCCAGACAAAAAGTGCAGCTCACTGATTGGTGCTATAGAACTTTGCCAATATGCTCCTACAGGACTGCTGCAGAACTTGGACCAAAAATCATTAAAATTCTGCATAAGCAGAGAATTAACATTATATATATATATATATATATATATGATATAATACTACTAATATATAAAGATGACATAAAAAAACTCACTTAAGACACTAATGGGCAAATAAAACAAGTGAAAATGATTAAGAAAATGATATAATAAGGTTAATAAATTAACATTTATCAATAATACAAAAAGAAAGGAACAGATTTTGGGAGGAAGATTCTTATAAGGTTTCTACTTTTCTTAGGTAAATTTTCAAAATTTGCTTTGGTAGCTTATTAGGTTTAGTCATGGGTGGCTAAATCCTTCTATTCCAACACCACTTTAACTTTATTTTGATGGTTTTTTACTATTGAGATTTTGTAGTCATTTGAAACAAGCTTAATTGCTTGATTTTCGTCTTCAATGTCATTTTCATTTGAATGTTCAATTGGTCTAATCAATGAGTTGAAGTTCATATGGATAATTGTTAGCCAACATCTGGATACGTAATTGTCTTGGAGATTTGATAAAGTAACAATTAATTTCATTCTATCTCAATAAGGTTTACGAATCGAAGTTCTGAAAACTTGCATTTAAAGCCTTAAATAAGTCGAGCTTATCGCTTTGAGTTGGTGTTTTTCTAGTTCGTTAAAGCTAATTATACCTAAGAATTTGAGAGTTTATTTGTGATTAAGATTCGGTTGAAGAGCTTATTTTAATCGGTGTAAATGTAAGGAAAAATAGAAGTCGTTAGAGCTTGTTAACAAATATAGTCAACATGGGTTGTTCTACATGCTTATATTCTTGGAATCAATGATAGGTACTGTAGCATCTTAATCAAAACCGAACTAATGTTGGGTTTTTAATTAATCGTTTTAACTCATTTTTATTTTATGCTTAACTTGATTAATCAAATTCACCCCCCAAGTTTTTCGTTCTTGTACTTGAATTGTCTAGTCGTAATAAGTTAAACCGAGTCTTTATGAATTCAACTCGACTTGCAGTTATTACAATTATAATTGTAAATAACCAATATTTGAAACTAATTATTTGATGGAATCGATATCCGTTAATGGTCTATTCAATTTCATATTATAATGATTATGATTTAATTAGATTATCTATACTATATTATAAAGCATTTGATGAAAAATCTTAAAGACCATTTTTTATGCATAAAATAATGTTTATTGATGCATATTACTTAAAATTCAAGATTACAAGTAATTGTGCATAAGTACAACTTATTATAGCTTCATATTTGAATTCATGTAACTAACTGCAGATAAACATAATCAAATAGCGGATAAACATCTCATTTAAATATAAAAAAAAATAAAATATAATTAAGATAATTATTGAATTCTAACAGAATACTTAATTATCATCTTAAAAAAATTATTTTTTTAAACCAAAAGTAAATTAGTTCGTTATTAAACTTCAATTTAATTATAATAAAAATTGAATTAAGGAAATTACATTAAAACGATAACTTTTAGATAGTTAATTTAATGATAATATCGATTGTTTTTTTTTTAATTTATAATATTTTCCAATTTATATTTCATTTAAAAATAAAAACATAATCTTTTTTCTCAAAATCACAAAAAATCGCATTATAATTTCGATAAACCCAATATATAAAGCAAAACATTAAAATCAAGATATATCTCATTGTATTACGTGAGTACGTAAAAGTATATGTATTTTATTATTAAAATATTAAGGATTTTTAAGTACAAAGACCAAAGTGGCCGAACTTTACGCCTAAAAATGCCTAAGCCCATTTCAAGATGGGCCAATAAGCCTCAGCCCATCTCGGCCTTTTCTACCTTGGAATTAGATGGCACGCTTTCAAAAACCCTAATTCATACCTACGCTTCATATTCTTACACTGAAATAGCAGCCATCTCTCTTAGAGATCGAAGCCGGAAGAGACTGCGACAATGGGTAAAACGTCTTTCTATTCTCCAGTATCTTCAAGATCCATTTACTTTTTTTCGTAAACATGCTTAAAGTTCGTATGTTCATTAGGTTTTAGTTTTTTCATCTTGGTTTGTTGAAATGTCCTGTGATTTGCGTGGTGGTAACAGGTGCCTATACCTATGTATCGGAGCTATGGAGGAAGAAGCAGTCGGATGTCATGAGATTTATGCAGAGGGTGAGGTGCTGGGAGTACCGCCAGCTTCCTTCCATTGTCAGGGTTACTCACCCTACCCGACCCGATAAGGCTCGTCGTATGGGTTACAAAGCCAAACAGGTAGTCTTTTGATTGGTTTATTACGCCACTAACCTGTTTGTTCGATAGCGTTGACTGTATTCCGGATTGTTAGTTTTATAGAATGAAATATTCATCCATAGGTCATTTACTCGTCCATAAATGCTGTGTGCAGAAGATTGATACTCATGTGCAAATTAAAGGATTAAACGAATACCTGAAAGAATGAATATATTATCATACAACGTTCTGTATAGAACTCCTACTGTTTGTAGACTAGTTAATGAATATAGTTTTTGTTTGTGCTAAAATTGCTCACAAGATTGCCTTATATTTGATATGTTGTTCTTATTCATTTGGATTAAACTTGTGTTCATAAAGATCAATTGAGCTGTTGCATTCGGTTAAATTAGTCTAGTGTAACTAGCAAAATCCGGTTTTACATGAAAGTGAGGAGTCTTTGTTGAATGCACACCCATATTAACAAATCAGGGACTTTCTTGTGGACCAAAATCAATAGCATCAATGGGTTGCAGTGGTAATAAGGGGTAAATAGTTGGTTATAGTTTGGAAATCTTTAGATTGGGATGAGGTAAATAATTGGTTATAGTTTGGAAATCATTAGATTGGGATCGAGTAGTAATCTTGGACAGAGGAAGACAGAAGTTTAACATACTTATTTAACAGAAGTTCAACTGGATTTCTAATTGTTTACTTTGTACTCTTTCTTGTGTAGTTGGTAACTTCAGTCTGATCTGTTATGAATATTTAATTTCAAAAAGTTGTGTATACTTTTAATGGATTCACTGCAACATTTATTAGTATATGATCACAAAGCAAATTTGTGGATATTTAATCTCAAGACTTGTGTTTAATTTTACTTGTTTCACTGCAATGTACATGATCATAACATGTCAATGAAAAAGTTTAACGGCTGAAAGGTTTGAGACCCAAGTTATGTCTTACAGAAATAGGTCTAAAAACTTTACAATGTAATGAGTTAATTTATTGAACGGTGTTACATAGCTCTTTTAATTAAAATTAAAGACTGGCAAGCATACATCTTCACAGTTGAGAATTTTCGTGTTGGATATTTGGTATTTCACATGGTAGTGCTAAATGAATGATGACTTTTACAGGGCTATGTGATCTATCGAGTTCGTGTGAGGCGTGGTGGAAGGAAGAGGCCAGTTCCCAAAGGTATTGTGTATGGAAAGCCAACAAACCAGGGAGTTACTCAGCTGAAATTTCAACGCAGCAAGAGGTCTGTTGCTGAGGAACGAGCTGGGAGGAAATTAGGTGGTCTTAAGGTTCTCAACTCTTACTGGCTCAATGAGGTATGCATCTGGTCTTCATATCTATAAACATATGTCTATTTGTTTATGGAGATGTTCTCTTTTGTTTTTCTTAGCATATGCTCTATTTATTCCATGAAAATTATAATGGTTTGTGTGGTATGTAAGGATGATAATTCCCAATACTGTATTTTAGCTTGCAAATTTCCCAAAAAAGGAATGTGCCAATACGCCATCCTAAAAGAAGTATACATTTCTATTTTAGTTTGTTCCAAAGTAAGTGTTCGCCTTTTAAAGTATTGCATGATTTCCAATTCTACCCTTAATAGTTAATTATGTGGGTTTCTCTATCATTAAAAGGTAAAGTTGTCCTGAAACCGTGTTTTTTCATTGTGAGGATTTATTTTAAAACCAGGGTTGTTTTTTTGTGAATCTTTATGTGATGGGATGTAGTGCTACACTTCGTACATTGAAACAAGTCTTTACTTGTTGGTATTTACTGCTTTTGGTTATTGAGTAGATTGTGTGTTGAATGGTGTAGGACTCAACTTACAAGTACTTTGAGGTGATCTTGGTGGATCCAGCTCATGCTGCTATCCGCAACGATCCAAGGATCAACTGGATCTGCAACCCTGTGCACAAACACAGAGAGCTTCGAGGACTCACATCTGCCGGTAAGAAGTACAGAGGACTGCGTGGAAAGGGACACTTGAACCACAAGGCACGTCCCTCAAGAAGGGCTACCTGGAAGAGGAACAACACTTTGTCTCTTCGCCGTTATCGTTGATCATCATAACTATTTATCCATCCATCCATCCATCCATTATCAACAACTTTCTTTTATTTCCTTGTGTTGTAGTGATACTAAATTTTGGGGTTCAAGACCTGGAATGTTTTGTTTCAATTTTGATCTAAACTTTTCGCGGAGGTTGTTGTTTGAGATATTTTTCTATTGCGACATCTTTTTATTATATTCAAACGTTGAGGAATGATGTTTCTGTTATGTGGTTGCAGCTTTCAAATGATGGAAATATTAAATTGCAAAAATTTAAATTTTAATCTTACTCCCATGTTTACAAATATGGTTGTATTTTTAAGACACTTTTTAATAAAATAGAATATCTTTTTGAGATTAAATGAAATATTTTAATATTATAATTAATATTGAAATATTTAAAATAAAAAATATGTTGAAGATGAATGCATTTTTTTTTAGATTTTAACTTTTAAAAGAAATTTTGGGAGATTGTCGAAGGAGCCAGGAGAAGAGGTAGGTCGAGGAGGTGGGGTTGGTAACAGGTAAGGTAAGATATGGGTAGGGTAAATGTTATTTCATTATCCAATTCATTTAAAATAATCGGTATGATTAAATGGTAAAATAAAATTTCATTTTGTATTTTAAATAATAGTGTTAAATCTTAAATATATATGTAAAACATAAGTTCATAAACATAGTAATTATGTTACATCTAATTCATGATAGTAAATTTTTTAATAATCATGGTATAAAAACAATATATATAAATTGTAGAACAACAATTTTCGTTGTATTTATTTATTTTTCCGACCTCGTCTTCTTTCTCATTTAATCATTGTTAACTCTTTTACTCAATAAATATAAAAAATAAATTAAATTACACATTACCATACAACGTATATGATGGAATTATAAAAAAAATACTACGAAGTAATTTATGTATATGTGTGTATATATATTATTTAACTTTATATAATTATTTATATATATATAGAGAGAGAGAGAGAAAGAGACGTTTAAAAGGGAACAGTGACTAAATAATAGAATACAAAAACAACAAAGTTACGTATAAAATTATATGTGATTTTACATTAACAGTTGACAAAAGGGTGTGTGATAACGTGGCCCACAACCTTAGGTCGTGGTCAAAGTCATTTGTCACATGTGATTTTATATATGCTTTTAGTGTAAAATCACATATGATTTTACCGTTTTCTTATTCTTTTATTTAGTTACTGTTTGGTAGGGGTGTTCAAAAAAACCGTCAGACCGCTCAAACTGGCCAAACCAAGTCAAACCGGACAGTTTTTGGTGGTTTGAACGGTCTGGTGGTCCGGTCTGGTTTGGAAAATAACAAAACCGGACGGTTCGGTGCAGTCTGCGGTCTGAAACAATTTTTGGGCGGTTTGGACCAAACCGACCGCCAAATATATATATATAGGGTTGGGTTCATGTGAGACCAGACTGTTTTCGTGAGACCCGTTAGACCACATTTTTACACGTAACATTCACAGCAAAAACACTGTGAAGGTTTTAAAAAGTCACATTCACAGCATTTTGCTGTGAAGTTTCAAATGTAAAATGTTGGTCTCACGGGTCTCACGAAAACAGGCTGGTCTCACATGATCCCAAGTCTATATATATATATATATATATATATATATATATAGAGGGTGGTTCAAATACTAACCCAATATTTTATGCAAACTTTGCTAACCCACATCAACCAATAATGTTGCATCTTTGGGTTTGGTTAAAATGTAACTTACATATTAATGATAAGGGTATTTAGGTCATTAGTCATTCTTATGTAACTCCCAAATATTTTAATTGGGAGTTACAAATCCTACAATATTTCAAATTGATCTTCATCTAATAATGACATGAAGATTCAAATATGTCCATCTTATTGACAACTAATTCACATATGAAACCACCTACAACGAACATCATGCACGAACAGATATAAAGTACAGGTATCGGTTTTATCTGCACAACCCCTGTTTTTGTTAATGTGCATGTCTCATCGTCGTGCATGTGTATCACTACGAGCATGCATCAAGGTTGAAGAACATGATCATATGACCAACATATATCGATTATAGTGTTCATTAGGTTCACACGGTGTAGCTAATGTTCATATATCTAGGGTTCACACCATAGGGTTCACATGAATGTTCATACCTTGATATAGGCACGAAGATGAACGATTGTTCATACACATATTAATTAATACAAATTTTTGACCAATTTATCCTTTGAACAATTGTTCATACACATATTAATTAATATATTAATTAAATTATTGTTTATTTAATCTCATTTAATAATAACCGTTAGATGAGAAAATGAACGATTAAGATGAGTTAGCATAGTTTGCACAAAATATTGGGTTAGTATTTGAACCAGCCCCTATAGATCAAATGAAAACCACCATCATTTGTACAAATCGTACAAACCACCATTATACGTCGATTTCATTGTTTAATCTTATGAAATTTTTTTGTGAAATTGTTTCATATAATAATTTTTTGATGAATTTGTTTCAATGAAATTTTAATGAAACTGTTTCATATATTTCTATAAAATTAAAATAATGAAGATGATAATATCCATGGTTAACACCCTCCACAATAAAAAATGGTTGATCAACCTCTCATAATTACAAAAAAAATTAACAAAATGAAAAATTATGATTGGTTGAATGTGATTTTCACGGTTTGTACAAATTGGGTGGTTTTTATTTGAACGCTCCTCTATATAGATATATTTATCTATCTATTTTAGTATTAGCAAGCCCAACTTTTTTAACTAATGGGCTTTGACCCAAATATATCCCTAAGCCTAACATCTAACATAATCAAAAGCGGCGCCTAAAACCATTAAACATATCGACACATTTGATATTGACAGTCTCCAAATTTGAAGTCCCTCAAGAACTCTATCAGTCTATCGATCCTTCTAATCCATGGATTGATTTCGGCACACATCATCAAGACATCAACCAATTGATTCAACCAACTTAGATTTGGCTTTTATTTTGTTTGGTCAATAACTTAAGAATTGAACTATTTAAAGTTGTGAAGTCGTGGATTTTGTTATTTAATACTCACAGTGGAGTTGTAACTTTGTTAATTTGTTTGTTTTCTAATATGTGTTATATATTTATTTGTTTGTACTTTGGATTGCTTCGACTTTATACTCAAGAGCTACTTAATTATTACATTTATTTGTTTAGATATTTTGTTTTCTTAAAATGGATATTTAATCTAAAATTCTAAATTATATATGTCTTTTAAGTTTAATATTTAAAGTCAATTAAAGTCACAAACCGCCTAAACCGGTCAGACCAGACCGCCTTTTCGTGGTCTGGTTTGATCGGTCTGACACTTGATGTCAAACCGCTCGGTTTGAAAATTTTATAAACCGCCATTACGGTTTGGTTTGTGGTCTGAGGGATTAAACCGTCCAAACCGGACCACGAACACCCCTACTGTTTGGGTATGAACTTGACTCTATATATTAACTTAATATACTTATGTATATAGTCCAATGTTATTTTAAGAAGTGGTAAATATTTGAGAACTAAAGAAGTGATCCTAGACCTTTATAAGCTTAAGATCGAATTTGATTGGTCAAGAATTGCGGTTTTGACTGGTCAAGAATTGCAGTTTTCACTGGTCAAAATATGCAGTTATACGAAAAATAGAGAGGTACTTTTGTAAATTTTACAAATATGTAACACCCGGATTTTCTTTCCCTTTTTCCCTACCTTGTTTGCGTCAAGGGTTTTCGTCTCGTTAGGAGGTGCGCGTTGCCATTCACCTATTAGAACTTAAAGCACTTTGCTTCCTTAAAAACTTCTTTGTAAAATTTATATATATGTGTGTATATATATATATATATATATATATATATTATTGTTTAAGCTTTTTTCTTTTTTTTAGGAAAAGGGGAGGAGAAATTTGAATCT